AAGCCAGATCGCTGGCAGCCAAGTGACGGTTCTTCTCTTAGCGGTCCGGATGGAGACCGGCACTCGCAACGTAGAACAAGGGCTCGATTGTCGGGGGCCAGGGGAGGGAGACTATTCCGCTCTGGCCTCGGAGATGGGAGCCGTGTCTCCACTGGGCCTTCTGTGAACCTCACTCTCTCCACCCAGGAGTCCCCCCCCCACCTCTGGGAGTGGAGAAGCATTTGTGAGATGAAGACCAAGAAGTACCATGACAACATTCCTTGGCGGAGGGTTTGGTTTCATTTTACCAGAAAGGAAAGCTTCCTGTTCCTTTAAATCTGAAACAACGCCTTTTAGGTCACAGGAGATGGTGTGGTTTCGAAAGAATTTATTTATGATCCAGCTGTATGAGCGTGATTCAGAACATGTCTGCATGGGAGATGATGAATAATAGGATTGAGCCACCACAAATGCTGTAGACTGTAGTCTCAGTTGAAGCATGCTGGATAATGGCTAGAGATAAGCAGTTATTTTGTTTTATTTCATTAGCATTACATTTATCTCCATTTAGCTGATATCCCAGCAGATGGGAACACCAGTGTGGTCATCTAGAGTTTTATCTCTGATGGATTTTGGTTAACTGTGACTTGCGGTCTCTGAGTGCGTGCTGGTTCAGGTGTGTCTGCTCCTTGAGGGTATCTGTGTTCCTTTTTCCACGTGGTACCTCATCTGATATCACTGCGTCACACTTTTGCCAACCAGAGCCCCTTATCTGGGTTTGTACTGTTTTATTAAGACCAGCATATGCCCCCTTTTCTTGTTTTTTGGCTTTATTTTGGCTCTCCAGTGCCAGTAAGCATAGCGTAAACTCTCATGACAACTTTTCATTCGTCCCATATGTTTCTGAGTACTGGGCCTCCCACAAGCAGCCGCCTTTATCTAAACTGCATCGGAACATCAGGTTGTGCTTTTGTTCATTTAGTTTTCCTGCCCTTCGTGTCCCTGAGTTAAATATGTTCTAGGTGTGTGAGCATTCCTCAGGTGACTCGGCATGTGGACTTATCCGAACTTCCCTGGAATGTGCTGTGGGCATTGTGGTCCTCTGTTCCGGTGGTGTTTGGCCCATTAAGACTTTCGCTGTAATGGGCCAAGGGATGGGAATGAGTAGGCGGAGCCACTGGGGCATTCGGAACACTGTGCTCGTTCAGATGTCCTGTGCCCTGTCATCGGCTGTTTAGGATAATTCAGTGAGTTTCTGCCTGTAGAACTGAAATGTTGCCCTAAAACAATTATTCACATTTCATTCCCTTATGATGTTAAGGTACAATTGTCATTGTACTGATTCTCCAGCCCTGAGTAGTAGGTGGCACCTGACTGCTGACTGATTTAATCATCTTGCATTGGTGTGCTGATTTTAAATTTTTTGTCACAGAAGCAAAGGCTAAAATGCCTTCCTGAAAGCATTACTCTAATATTAATAGAAAGCAGTTTTGGGACAACACTTTTGTAATTGAAAATCATTAAAACTAACTGCCGTGGCTGTGTGACAGTACTGATTGTGATCTGCCCCTAAAGTTTTAATGACATGTGTTTAAGCAGCCCAGTTTAGGTTGAGTCTGATGCTTGTTGCCCTAAACTTATCTTTGATTCGTCTTTGACATTTGGCCATGTTCTCATGCATGGCAGGCGTGAGATGTACATAGGCAAATATATGTGGACTAAATAGGCTCTAGATTGTCAGTGGGATTTGCTTGTGTGATTTGCATCTGATTGTTCGATTTGAAGCTGGTCTGAACTTCTGGAGTGAGCGCCTGGTATCTGTCCCTGCAGATAATGGTGGCTGTACTGCCATGGCCTGCAATGGTGGCCTGTGTGGATTTGGTGTGACTCGTGGCGCCAGTGCATCATTTCTGTGCATGCAGCGGGTCCTGTGAGCGGCATGGCGTGATTGGGTTTCAGGACCTGGTTCGAGGAGCTGCTGGCAGTGGGCCTTTTATAGATGGTGATTCCTGCCCACCTTGTGAGGGGGTAGGGAAGCTCGACAAAACTGCACGAATAAGAAATTGAAACCTTTCTCGATTCCTTGAAAGCCTGTGATGTGAATGTAATGGGCCCACAGCCAAGATAACGGAGTTCAGCAACCTGTTAGTGTGCTTTGGCAGGTTTAGGGACCTGTTGGCATCTTGCCGTTCCTTTGAGCGGAGCCTCATACTGAAACTTGCAGTTGCACTGAGTTCCACGTCAACGGCTTTCTTATACCGTCCTCTCAAGCGCTAATGGATCGATGATTTATGTATTACATCAAAGGCGTTAAGTGAAGATTTTTCCCCACAAAGAAAATGGAAGATTAGTAGTTAAGATTCCTGGCCCTTTTAGTCTGGTACTCAGAATACCATGGGGGTAAGTGTGGAGCAGAGCTGAAGGTGATGTTTACTCCTCCTCATTTTGCATAGCGCATTTCTCTTGTATCGCTACACTTTTCTGCAAGTTTATTGCAATCTGGTTTTATTTTGGGATGTTAAGTGTTTGGACTCATGCATGTAGAAATAAGACGTGGTCGTGGTCGGAATATGAAAATCAAAGAATTATTGAACTTCAAGTCGTACAGAAACCAGATTTAAAATGCTACCATTTGCAACTTCTGGTTTACCAGATGCTTAATTTTTAATAACCCTTATTTGATGTGCTGTTTTGCGGTTGGCAAAATTATTAATAATTAAACAAAAAAAAATGTGTGAAGAACAATAGTGTGGTAACTTGGGCTTGGTGAATCCGCCTTTTGACTGCAGGAAAACTTTATATTTGATCCCTTGTCAGGCACAGAAGTGTGCATCCTTTGCCTAATAAACATTTATCTTTTAAAGGAATGTAGTCAGTCCTGTTCCAACGTAACCATGCGGCCGGGCGTGCACACGGCACAAACACG